TCAGCCTTTGCATGACTTGCATAGCTTGATCTCAGGCTTATTTCTGAAGCCATAGACCAGTAGGAGCAACAATTTGATATGGCAAAGTCATGTTGTTGCAAAGTTGCCCACCTATGGTCAAGTTGACCGCTTTTGCTTATGTAAGCAATGTCACCCCTGTTATGCTGCCTCACCCAATGATTGATTTTTTGAGCTTTCATATGACTTGCTTGGCTTCAAATAGAACTTGTTTCTGGGGTTATTTGGCCGTCTGAATCTGATGGGAACACTGGTTTGGTCCGAAAAAATCATATTTCAGAGTGATGCTACCCCCTCCCCCTACCTACTACCTACTGTGCCCAGAGGCAGGATTCCATGTCGATACTGATGTATAAAGGATGTTCCTAGTGTTTTTGTATCATATTAAGTGATTGGAGATGGTCTCAGAGTCATCCGGGCCCATGTGAATTGTGATGTGTCAGTTTGCCTGATGCCCCCCCCACAAAGATCGATTTTTCTAGGCTTCCCATGACTTGTCAGTCCTTCAGGAGCATCCTTCCTGGGGGTTATTGAACCCTCTGAACATGATGGTCAAGCCAGATTTGCCAGAAAAAAATCATGTTCTTGAGATATGCAAGGTCCCCCTCCCCCTCCTATCTCATATATCTTCATATTATGTGAATACTGATATATCAAAGGATGTTCCTAGTGTTTTATGATCACAGGAATCGATTGGAGATGGTCCCAGATTATTTCTAGCCTGTTTGAATTGAAATATGTCAGTTTGCCTCATACCCCCCACAAAGATCGATTTTTACAGACTTCCCATGACTTGCCAGTGCTACAAAAGCATTTTTCCTGGGGGTTCTTGATCCACCTGAACACGATGGTCGAGCCAGATTTCCCAGAAAAAATCGCGTTCTTGAGATATACAAGGTCCTCCTCCCCCCTCCTACCTCCTATATTTTGCTGTGCTTGAATTTAACTTAAGACCGATACTGTAAAGGCCTGTCCTAGGGTTTTTTAGGTGTAGGAATCGATTGGTGATGATCCTGGACCACCTGGAGATCAATATTGGTGACATATGGTGGTGGGGCCAAAAAGTCAGTATTTTGGCCATATCTCCACAACCCAACCGCCGATTTCTTTAATTGTTGGCTCATATCATTCCTAGAAGTACCCTCCATGATATGTACCAGCCCATGAAAAGAAATTTTTTCACAAGTTTGAAACCTATTTCTGAAATGACCATATAAGTGTACGCGTATGTTGATCATGATGAGGCGCTCGCCTTTGTGTTCCTGTAGGTCATGGCGGTGAGTTCTGTGCCTCGACCTGGTGCTCCACTCAACATCTCGCATCTGGCTAGGACCAGCTTCTGAAATTCTGCATAGTCCCTCAGCCACCGCAGCAGCGCGCCTTTGTTCCACACGAGCTGTCCTTGACGCACCACGGCGAACTGACCGAAGACTCCTGGATTGTCGATGAGGGCCTTGAGAAAACGGTCGCGGTCCGCAAAGCAAGCGTTCCTGCGGTCGGACAAGAAGCAGTAGCCGACGTCGTTGTTGCTGGTGTCGTCAACTATGTCCTCGTAGCATACGCGTATCTTAATTCCCACCAACACCTTGTTCTCCCAGAGATCCACCAGTTTCGTCTCCATGGAAGCAAAGACCTGTCTCAGTTTATCTATGTGCACCTTCTCGCCTCTGTACAGCATCTCCATCCATCTTTTACGGTCCATCCACCACACGCGAGGGAGACTCATGGTCTTGTATGCGATCGTCGATGCTCGACGCTGAAGGGATCGTATGCCGCTGAAAGGCGAGCCGGTCTTCTCGGTAAACCAAGGCTGGAGTGCGTCGCACGCTGCTTCGTCGTCGCCATCGTATAGCTCAGCGCTGAGGATCTTGAGCTGCTTCAAACACGCCAGCCGTATGCAGTACTCCACTCTGGCAAAGTCTGGAGTGACGAGCACTGGCTCCCTGTGTCGTCCGTCGGTCTCCAGAGTGTGAAGCGCCATGAAACGCTCTGTGGGACATGGAATGGTGTTGCCTGCCGCTTTGACCCACTTCGTCATCCACACCGACGTCAAGATGGAGTGTATCTTCTCTGTGGCATCCTTCTTGTCGCCGAGTGTCACTTCCAATTCCACCAAGTCTGACATGAGGTCGAGGGGGATCGGAATCTCGTACTTGTCGCCTTTGTCTGTCCTCATCAGCATGGCGAGTAGACCGACGGTCAAACGCTCGTATGTCTTCATCGTTGTCGCTTCTTGATGGCGTTGAAGAGGCGAGTTGTTGATTCCGCTGTGGACAAGTGAATTTAGCATACGCGTATGCTGATGAATGCTCCCGCTCACAGTTTCAATGGATCGGGAGAGTTGAGTCGCTGCAGGATCAAGTCGTCCGTGGTGTCCAGTAGGACCAAGGCGCTTTCGAAATAAGCCTCTACTGCGGTCGCGAGGTTCGGCATCAGTGAATCGTCTGGCTTCGGAATCTCTGTGAGCTTCCTTAGAGTCGCGACGTCGTGGCCGGCCACGTGTTCGTGCCACTTGGTCGTCAGCAGCCATGGGCTCACCATCCGCTTGTCTTGCGGTATTTGCTCCACTCTGGTCACCTCCGCCATCTCCTGTCGCATCTTGTCCATGAGGTCTTGATGGATGGACCGTGGGTCCTCCTCATCGTCCACTCTCCAGAATGTCTTGTGGTCCGACCTGTTCAGCTGTTGCATCTTGCAGGACGACCACTCCTTGGGCATAGGAATGGTGGGATGACTGGTCCTGTGATGTGTCTGCATCCACTTCTTGGACGCGCAGACAAACCTGCAAGAATCGCAAGCGATGCCGTCGTGCACCTTGAGACCCTTACAGACGGGGCGATCTTTGCCTCCTGCAACGGCGGTGGGAAGATTCGCCTTGATATTCATCGCAGCAACGGCTTGAAGCAGCTGCTTGTCTTTGAGCTTTGCTTTCAAGGCTGAATGGGCTGTGGCAATATGACCTGAGACGTGAGCGAGGGGGATGGCGATCTCGCAGATTTCGCAGCAGAGGACGCGTAGGTCTGGATTGACCACCATGTTGATGGAGTCGAGATAGGAGTGGTGCAGCACTCCATCCTCGATTGCCTCTGATGCTGGTTCGACTGTCTTGTCTCGAGCTGGACCGCTCTGTGGTTGTTATGAGTGAGTTAGCCTACGCGCGTGCTAAATGATGGACTTGCCAGATCATCGTGCTGCAGCTCTGCGTGGCGCTCTACTGTGAAAAGATCCTGGTGATTTTATGTCAGATGATGCGTGAGCGAGAGCTGGTGGAGTGCGCCTGCCTTGGCATTCTGAGCTGATTCATCGACGTCCATGGATTGTTGGGATGAAGAGGACTGCGCGTGACGTCGGTCCGTCAGTGCGCGCGTATCTTAGCGATGATGATTGAGATGCTCACCTGGTGCCTGTGAGACTTGGAATGTTTTGCCACGATCGACGCTCGATCTATGTCTGGATGCGACGTGCGTGAGGAGACCAGGGAGCTCGCTGGACTTGGCTGACGAGGCTGAATGGTGTCTGTGGACCCGTCGCTGTCGTCGGTCTGATCATGGTCGATCAGAATCGAGGCATGCTTATTGTATGAAGAGATGATGCTTGCCTCATCGAGTCGAGACTCTGTTGGTTGAGCGATGATGGATGCTCGATCCAGATCGATGGACTGTGGATGTGGTGGTTGGTTAGTGCGCGCATCTGCATGATGAATGCCCTTGCCTGATCGCCCTTTGCAAAAGACTTGTTGGATTTGTCGGTCTGGTCATCCTTTGTTAGCATACGCGTATGCTGACTCGAAGAGCATCGAGCCGCATACCTTGCCTGATGCGCTTGGATGATCTGCATCCTCTGAGGAGGACGCGCTGCTTTTCTTCTTCTGATCGTCCCCTGTCAGCATGCTGATTCCATGGGTGTTGAGGGACTTTACCTTTCCTGATGCGTCGCTCTGATCATCCTTGAATTAGCATGCGCGTATGTTGATCAATGGATTTTGGATGCCTCACCTTGTCTGAAGCGCTGGTCTGATCAGCATCTTTGGAGGACTTGCTGCTTTTGTCAGTCTGATCATCTTTTGTTAGCATACGTGTATGCTGATTTGATGGGTTTTGAGCCTCTTGCCTTGTCTGGTCCGATCCAGCGAGACTGCACTTTGGTCATGTGCCTTTTCAGAGTCTCAGGAGTTCTGAAACCCAGTTTTGGATTTGCAGTGACACATCCTTCATGAGAGCACCAGCACTCAAACAGACCATCTGAGTTCTTATGGGCAGTGATCATCTGACTGGTGGCTTTGTAGACAAATTCTTCAGTATCAGAGGTACATGACTTTCTATGAGTGCTGAGATCCCTTCTACTGAAGGTCTGAGAACAGTTGGGACATGGGGGCATGATGATGGTGGTGGTGAAAGGAAGAAGTCAGAAAGACACAGCCACCTGACTGTTGAGTGAATTCAAACTCAGCCCCAAATATTCAGACTCAGTGGATTACAAAGCATGTTTGCCACGCACAAACTCAGACTCAGTGAGACTGCAAAGCATCCTCCTCAGATATTTCAGACTTGATGTGCATGTCACCATTGTTGAGGTCTGCTGTGCGTGTAATGGCATGCTTGCTGCCAATGAGGAGCTTTTTTGGAGCTGGTGACTGGATCTGGGCATTTCAGGATGCGCGTATCTTGATGGATGGATTTTTGTTTGTGGGATGGCTGGATCGAGGCATTTCAGCATACATGTATCTTGACGTTTGCATTTTCTTACGTGCTGGACTTGTGATCTTTGGCACTTTTCTCGGTTTGTTTGAGAGGCGCGCCCCCACTCCTACGGACGATGACTTTCCTTAGCGATCGTTCGCATGCGGTCCAATAAATAAATCGAGATTGCGCAAGCGACTGGCTACGACAGTGTTCATCAGGCAGCATACGCGTATACTAATGTGGTCCGGCCCTATCTATCATACAATGAACTGCTCTCGAAGGTGCTGGTGGTCTAGCTAATCAGTTGGTGACGTCCATCTCTGCCTCCTCTGCGGATCCTGTGGCCTCTGCATCTGGCGCGGATTCTGAAGACTCTGCCTCTGTTGCAGATTCCGTGGCATCTCCCTTTGGCGCGGATCCTGAAGACTCTGCCTCTGTTGCAGATTCTGTGGCATCTCCCTTTGGCATGGATCCTGTAGCCTCTTCCTCTGGTGCGGATCCTGAAGACTCTGCCTCTGTCGCAGATCCTGTGGTGTCTCCCTTTGGCGCGGATCCTGTGGCCTCTTCCTCCTGTGCGGATCCCGAAGACTCTGCCTCTGGCGCGGATTCTGAAGCTTCTCCCCCTGATGCAGATCCTGAGGTCTCTGGTTCTTGCGCAGACCCTGAAGCTTCTGCTGCTGCATCAGCCATTTCTTGGTCTTCATCTCCCGCCTCGTTGGTTTCATAACCGCGGATTACGTTGTCTGCCAAACTTTGGATCTGGCTTTCGGGGAGGATGCGTTTCGCTGTCAGCCATGATTCTGAGAAGATGCTTGCGAATGGCATAGGACATCTTCGGAAATGATGTGATGAGGTCTTGTATGGCTGGAGGGTACTTTGCAGGATCGAGCACATTGCTATTGTTGCCGAGTTGGCGACCCAGCCGCTTCCAGTTGCTGAGGGTTGGCCTGTAGATGGAGGGGTCTGATGGGTGGTGTTAGATGGTGGAAGAGTCGATGGGAACGATGCTCACCAAGGTCAGAGTCTGGATTGGGTGCGTCTGTGCTGAGGCGCTGTCTCTTGCGGCTTGAGCTGCTGTCCTCTTCTGAAGATGCTTCTGGTGTGCGCTTTCTGGAACCAGGATTGGAACCGCCCGAGGAATCTGATGAATGTTTGAATTTAGCATACGCGCGCGCTGATGTCTGGTTTGAGACTTGCCTATGAGGGGGTTGGATGCTCCTTCTGATGAAGAATTAGCGTCAGCTTCGGAGTGGATTCTGGTTCGTGAAAATTACACTCACTGGCGATGGCACCTGATCTGGCTTGTTGGAGGGCTTTGGCGGCGGGGCGCATGGTCTCATCTTCGGAATTAAGATTCACCGCACTGGGGGCCTTGAGACGACGCTGGGTTTCCTCCTCTTCATCGGAGGGAAGCTGAGTGTTGTTTTCGAATGCAGCGGACAGAGCCTTTGACAGGTCTGAGGAGTCTTTTGAAGGGGATGGTGCGGACTCCGATGATGGACGCTTCGAGCGTTTGAACTTTAAGGCGCCGAGGATGCTGCTGCCGCTCGGTTTGGAAGGCATCTCCTGCTCATCGCTGGAGGACAGTATTATGGGCTCATCCATTGCTTTCCTCTTGCCTTTATCCGCATTTGAGGTGTCAGAACCTGCAGGGAGCGGTCAGTCTGTGTTAGCATACGCGTATGCTAGCGTGTCATGGAGTTGGAGTGGACTGACTGGGAGCGGGAGGGAAGTCCGCCTCCATGTCTTCAGATGCGGGCGCTTTGCTGCTGGAGAGCTTCGACTTCGACTTTGGCTTTGGCTTTGGCTTTGGCTTTGGCTTTGGCTTTGGCTTTGGCTTTGGCTTGGGCTGGGGCTGGGGCTGGGGCTGGGGCTTGGGCTTTGGCGGCGCCTGCTTCGTTTTGACAGGAGCTGAGTTCCTTGCGTTAGCGCGCGCGTATACTGAGCACAGGAGAATGAATGACTTGCCTGGAGCGGTTTCTTCCTCAGAATCGGATTCTGATTCAGCACCCTCTCTAGGAGGGGGCCTGTAGGCCTTTTCTGCCTTCCTCTGCAAGACCCCTAGACGTCTGTTCAACTTCTCGTTGGCTTTCTGCGCTTTGATCCTGGCCTGTTCGGTGTAGATAGAGGTGCTGGTTGAATGATATGAGACAGGGGCTTTGGCCAGATTCTCGTCCGTCTGAGGGGACCAGTGTTTCTCGATCTGCACCTCTGTCGCGCATTGGATGAGGCTGAGGTCCTGGCCATAACCGATCTTCTCAACGATCGCCTTTCTGGCTTCCATGCTCAGACGGCCTCTGAGATCCGCCTTCGGATCTTTCATCCTGATCTCCTCTTTTTCTCCAGAGCATGCGATGGCCTATGGGTTGAGAATTAGCATGCGCGTATGCTAGAGAAGAAAGGAACCGCTTGCCTCCATCAGCACCAACAGAGCTTCCTTCACCTCTGGAATCACCACCTTGTTCTTTCCGATCATGATGCTGCCCAGACCGGTGGACGTGGCCAGCTCGATGATTTTTTGCATGTGCTGGTTGTTGCGTTCTCCCAATTCCGGGGCAGCTAAAGCGCGTGCGGATGAGACGGCGGTGGTTTCTGCATCGTTTATTACAGGTTGGATTGATGGAACGATGACCGCTGCGCTGCGAGGGACGTTGGGCTGGCTATTTATGTCGTCGAAGAAGGGAAACGCTTCCAGTTCATGGCCGTGACTGTTGGCGATGGCGATCAGAGCCTTGGCGATTTTTTCGCGAAGATCCCAGTTGGATCTGATGGAGAGGATCTTCTTGCGCGGAGTGATCAGGTCGTTCTGATACAAAGCGTAGTAGAAGAGGATCTTCGTCAGCTTCTTTTTCTTGGCGATGTGCCACCAAGGATAGGCTGTGGAGCGAAAGACATAATAGACGGCTCTGAAGGAGGCGATCATCGAAGGAGTTGGCAGGGCATTGGTGCATTCATTCCAAATCCTATCGCTGGCTCCAGGAAGGAGTATCGAACCCTGAGACCAGTTTGGAGTTGCCTCCAACTCCAGGGCCCAAGCATAGAAAAACTTGTGCAGGATGACCCAGGCCGTGGGATCGAAGGTTTCTTGGTAGGTGGCAGCCATGTTCTTCTCTATGTCCTTGGGGATGAATTTGCCCATGGCAACCCTGTAAGTAGGAGCGTGGACTCTGCGTGCGGTCATGATAACGGACACCAGCTGGGTCGCGATGCTTCAGTCTGCGAAGCTCAGAGGAGTGGATGGAGATGGTCTCACCGAGTTCAAAGCGCTCTCTCTGTCCGCAGGGTCCTCAATGCCAAAGCGCACCTCGAACATGACGAGCAAGGCTTCCCAGATGCAGTACCAGGGGCGGCCCTTGCGAACGTTGGCTTTGGTCACGGGAAATGCAGAGAGAGGATCAATGGAAGATACCAACTGGGGCGGTCGCATCAGATTTTAGCATACGCGTATGATGATTCTGCTCACATCTTTCAAAACGACATAAAGGTCTACGTCTGACCCTTTTTTGATGTATTTTGTGAGACTGGTGGAATTCCACACCATCATGTAGGCGATGATGGCTGGGGGAGTGAGCATTGGGAGGAGGGTGCCGTGGTTCAGCTCTTCTTGCTCGTGCGGATTGAAGCCGGCGTGTATCCAATCGAGTTTCGTCAGAGTGTTCCTCAGAATCTTGGTCTCCGGGTCATCCTCTTTGCAATGGGGGAGGATGTTGACTTCGATGATCTGGGTGAGCTGTTCGGACAGCTCCTGATAGAAGGCATCATAAGCGTGCTGGTATCGACGTCTGTCATCTGTTTCGACGGAGCCGAAGAGAGTGACGGCATCGGAGAGGTGTTTTGTGAACGCATCCGACAGCGTCCTCATGATGGTCGCATCGATCAAGCTCAGCATTGGACTTCTGTCCTTCTCCAGGATCTTTTGCAGGAACAATTTGCGATACTTCTCCAAGATGCTGGATCGCTCTTTGGCATCCGCGTCCTTCCAAGACTTGTTGCAGTGCTTGCCAGCGGCGTGATTCAAGGAAGCAAAGGTCATCGGCGTAAAGAGGAATTTGAGTTTGGACAGCATGGGCCTCAGGGTGGCGATGTGGAACTGACAAGGCATTATTAGCATACGCGTATTCTAAGTTGGTGGCTGCATGCTCACCCCCGTGAGACAGGGATTCCAGTTTGCATAGAGCAGGGATATGTTTATGGACGTCTCCTTCTCGAATGGCTCGATGGCATACAAGTCCTTCAAGAAATTAAAGAGGGCCTTGTGCTTCACCGCCCATGTCGTGCGGACGCCACTGCTCTCTCTCGAGTCCATCCACTGCTGCGTGGCATCCGCCAAGAAAGCCTCATTTTTGTCGGACTGCTCTCCACGTCCCAAACGAAGGACGTTTTTCAGCTTGTCCGTGTCGGTATCGTCCTTGAAGGGCAAGGACACGTTGCCCGTGAGCTCGTGCAGCATGAGAAGCTTGTTGGGGGACCTTTCGATGGCGTCTAGATGGGATGGTTAGCATACGCGTATGATGAACATGAGAGTCGGTGCGTTGGCTCACCGATGTCAAAAAAGCGGGCCGCCCACACCGCCTTTGGTTCCAAGACTCGTTTGGCGTCAGCGACCTTTCGTTCGCCGATGCTCCTGTCATGGGTGTTCTTCGCTCTGTCCGCCTCCTCCACTCCCTTGTTGTAATTGAAAAATTCCTCTAAGAAGTGCTCCGCGATGAATTGGCATCTGTGAGAGCCATTGAACAAGACCATCTGGGCTCCTGGACGTCTGGCCGCATCCGTCCATTCGATGAAGTTGTCATATTGGCCGGGTTTCATCTTCTGCAGGCCTCCCTTGACGTGCTCCGGTTTGACGCCTATGAAGATGGCGTTGGACTGCTGGCGGTTGAGAAGCCCTGATGCTTGCTGCTTCTCATCAATCTTCTTGATGATGGCGCTGTTTATTGGTCTACAGTTGTATAGCTGGCGGATCATCTCTGGACCTTGACCCAGGTCGTTCTTGGTTCCTCCGACATGAAGGAGGGCGTAGCCTAGCTCCGCTTTGAGCAGACCATCCAGGATCTCCTGAGTCTGGAATGTGCGCTGCTCTCCGTCTGCCTTCTGCAAGCAAGTCTGTTAGCATGCGCGTATGCTAATCGTCTGACGACAACCGGACTATCACCTTCTTAGAAATCCGCTTCTTCTGCAAAGAGATGTCAGATGGTGCTGCGATGCGCAATTTTAGCAGATGATGGCTGCTGACCTTCTGCTTCTTGGCCTTCTGCTTCCCTTTCCCTGCTGGAGTGGGGGCGTCTTCCTGGATCGGATGATGGTTGAGATCAATGGCTGTTTTAGCATACACGTATGCTAGCTCACCTCTTCCTGATTCTCCTCCTGATTCTCCTCCTCATCCTCCTGATCTCCTCCTTCATCCTCCACCTGATCATCCTCTTCCTCCTGCTCATCCGCTTCTTCTTCTCCCGTGTTCTGAATCGAACGATGAATGTCGACTCCATGATGGATTCAGCATACGCGCATGCTGACTGACCTGGTTCATCTCTACATCCTCCAACTCTCCATCTCCATCTCCATCTTCCTCTTCCTCTTCCTCTTCCTGGTCATTCTGCACGGTGATCTTTTAGTTATGCGATGCTTGCTAGCATACGCGTATGCTGACTGACCTCTTTGGCATTGGACCTCTGTTGGAGCGATTGATGGTCAGTGAACTGAATTGAATCAGCAGAGGTGTCTGTCACTTGCCTCTTTGCTGACAGATGCACTGCCTGGCGCCTTCAAAAAAGAAGCGTATCAGACACGAGCGAAAAGATCAGCGTGCGCCTGTACTGATTTACCTTGGTGCGGAGCTGTAGGGAGGAGACGTCAGTGCTGGTGAGATGCTGGCATGCACATATGCTGATTTACCTTTGTGTTGCTTGTCTTGAGACGGAGAAACAAAGAGAGAAGATGTTAGCGCTGGTGGTGATGCTAGCATGCATGTATGCTAATTTACCTCAATATAATCCTGGATAGATGGAGAGAGGGAGTGTCAGCACTGGTGCTAGCATACATGTATGCTAATTTACCTTTATGGGGACCTAGATACATGGAGAGAGCAAGTGTGAGCACTGGTGCTAGCATACATGTATGCTAATTTACCTTGTCAGGCACCTAGATAGAAGGGGAGAGGAAGTTAGCACTGGTGCTGGTGCTAGCATACATGTATGCTAATTTACCTGGTCAGGCACCTAGATAGATGGGGAGAGGAGGTGTCAGCACTGGTGCTAGCATACATGTATGTTGATTTACTTTAATCAAAAACTAGATGGATGGGGAGAGAATGTTTTAGCACTGGTGCTGGTGCTAGCATACATGTATGCTAGTTTACCTTGTCAGGCACCTAGATAGAAGGGGAGAGGAAGTTTAGCACTGGTGCTGGTGCTAGCATACATGTATGCTAATTTACCTTATTGGATTTCTAAAGAAATCAAAGAAATTAATATTTAATTGGATTTAAATATTGATTTCTCACCTTATTTGTCACTGTTGTGACCTTAGGTTTGGTAGACATTGTGAAGCTTAGTGTAGTCTGTGTTGTAGAGAGAGATGGTGGTGGTATGAGTTCAAGAAGGGTAAAATTAAAAGCTGACTTTGTTTGTATATATACTTTGGTGGGATAAATATTCACAAACAGATGAATAATCATGGTGGATATTCTTATTTCTCAATTACATAAGCGGACACACTTTAAGCCTGCCACGCTGAAAGAGAAGTCCTTCTGTCATTTTGCATACGCGTATACTAGCGAGCTGTGCCGTTTCTCTATCGCCCGCTGAAAGATTAGCTTCGCTGTGTTTTGGGCGATGGCTCATGCCTCAGAGGGGATGTTCTCACGCTTTCTTGGATGTCCCTTGCCTGTTTTTTTTGTAGACGTCTCCGTCAAATTATTAGTATACGCGTATGTTAGTAAGCCCCGCGTATGTTAGCGAGCCGTGCCGTTTCTCCATCGCCCGCTGAAAGATTAGCTTCGCTGTGTTTTTGGGCGATGGCTCATGCCTCAGAGGGGATGTTCTCACGCTTTCTTGGATGTCCCTTGCCTGTTTTTTCTGTAGACGTCTCCGTCAAATTATTAGTATACGTGTATGTCGGCAAGCCATGCGGTCCGCCTTGGAATGAGGTTCGCCGCATTCTGAGCAATGACTCATGCTTCTGTGGGGACATTCTCTCGCATTCTGTGATGGCGCTTGGTGATTTCCTTAAGACGTCTGCTTTGTGCTATTAGAACGCATGTTTGCTAGCAAGCCGCCTTGTTTCTTGATCTTCTGCCCTGGGATCAGCTTTGCCGCGTTCCAAGTGATGACTCATGCCTCTGTGGGGATCTTCTCACGTTGTCTTTGTTGCCATATTCAGTCAAATCTTGTTGCTTGATTATGCCGCGTCTTGTCGTGTTCCATCAGTGGTAGTGTCGCGTCTTGCCGCGTTCCATCAGTGGTAGTGTCGCGTCTTGCCGCGTTCAGTCTATCTTGTTGCTAGATTATGCCGCGTCTTGTCGCGTTCCATCAGTTGTAGTGTCGCGTCTTGCCGCGTTCAGTCTATCTTGTTGCTAGATTATGCCGCGTCTTGCCGCGTTCCATCAGTGGTAGTGTCGCGTCTTGTCGCGTTCCATCAGTGGTAGTGTCGCGTCTTGCCGCGTTCAGTCTATCTTGTTGCTAGATTATGCCGCGTCTTGTCGCGTTCCATCAGTTGTAGTGTCGCGTCTTGCCGCGTTCAGTCTATCTTGTTGCTAGATTATGCCGCGTCTTGCCGCGTTCCATCAGTGGTAGTGTCGCGTCTTGTCGCGTTCCATCAGTGGTAGTGTCGTGTCTTGCCGCGTTCAGTCTATCTTGTTGCTAGATTATGCCGCGTCTTGCCGCGTTCAGTCTATCATGTTGCTAGATTATGCCGCGTCTTGTCGCGTTCAGTCTATCTTGTTGCTTGATCATGCCGCGTTCAGGTAATTGTGTATCACTGAAGGATGTCGCGTCTTGCCATGTTCCATCAGTCAAAATGACATGTCTTGTCACAAACAATTAGCATACATGTATGCTATCTCCCGGTGTGGTCTTGCTGCATTCATGTAATTGCATTGTCAAATGATATTGTATCTGCCATTTGCTTATTGCCAAAGGACATTGTATCTTGCTATATTCAATTTAGTGTTGCCAAGAATGCTGCATCTTCTTAGTATACACGTATACTAAATCTGTCTTGTTGCATTCCATCAGTAGTAATTGCTTTCTCGCTGAAGGATGTTGCGTCTTGCCGCGTTCAGTCTATCTTGTTGCTGGATTATGCCGAGTCTTGTCGTGTTCCATCAGTGGTAGTGTCGTGTCTTGCCGCATTCCATCAGTGGTAGTGTCATGTCTTGCCGCGTTCAGTCTATCTTGTTGCTAGATTATGCCGCGTCTTGTCGCGTTCCATCAGTTGTAGTGTCGCGTCTTGCCGCGTTCAGTCTATCTTGTTGCTAGATTATGCCGCGTCTTGCCGCGTTCCATCAGTGGTAGTGTCGCGTCTTGCCGCGTTCAGTCTATCTTGTTGCTAGATTATGCCGCGTCTTGCCGCGTTCCATCAGTGGTAGTGTCGCGTCTTGCCGCGTTCCATCAGTGGTAGTGTCGCGTCTTGCCGCGTTCAGTCTATCTTGTTGCTAGATTATGCCGCGTCTTGCCGCGTTCCATCAGTGGTAGTGTCGCGTCTTGCCGCGTTCCATCAGTGGTAGTGTCGCGTCTTGCCGCGTTCAGTCTATCTTGTTGCTAGATTATGCCGCGTCTTGCCACGTTCCATCAGTGGTAGTGTCGCGTCTTGCCGCGTTCAGTCTATCTTGTTGCTAGATTATGCCGCGTCTTGCCGCGTTCCATCAGTGGTAGTGTCGCGTCTTGCTGCGTTCAGTCTATCTTGTTGCTAGATTATGCCGCGTCTTGCCGCGTTCCATCAGTGGTAGTGTCGCGTCTTGCCGCGTTCAGTCTATCTTGTTGCTAGATTATGCCGCGTCTTGCCGCGTTCCATCAGTGGTAGTGTCGCGTCTTGTCGCGTTCCATCAGTGGTAATGTCGCGTCTTGCCGCGTTCAGTCTATCTTGTTGCTAAATTATGCCGCGTCTTGTCGCGTTCCATCAGTGGTAGTGTCGCGTCTTGCCGCGACTTTGTCATGTGCATGAATGCTTGATCCAATGGGATGCTCAGATATCAAAAATGGAGATGTCGCGACACGTCGCGACTGCCGCGACGGGTATCATGCCCTATACTACCCGGGGCATTAACTTAGGATATGAGCTCGTCACTAGGACGAACATCGTGCTACCAACGGCTAATTAAATCACCAAGACAAATGCTATACAGTTGGGATTCTGCGGTATGGAGTCCTGGACATCTTACATCTACTCGCTAATAATACTTTGTTGTGTTTCCAGTGTTACACGAGCTCAATCGACCACCATGACGTCCTCACGCTCTTTCGACCACTTCTTCACCAGCACTTTCCTTAACTCGCGGCGATTGCCATTGCAACCGGCCATGGCACGGCATTACCAATCTGCCTGTGCATCTATGTTATTTGATCAGTGTGCAGCGGGAGGGAAGGTTATTTTAGCACACACCGTCATGACACGATCATTTTCCGCTTGGAACACAAACTTGTCGGGAAAGCCTTGTGACCGAGCGAGTTCGCGCACCGTGACAATGCGTTTGCACTGCATGATTCGTATTCATTTGGTTAAGTGCACTGTAGTGGAAGCAATGACGCACATAAGGGTTGAGCACACGGGATTGCTTGCACTTGGGTCAATGTTAGTGTCAGTAGCTTGAAAATAACCGTTCTTGTTAACTCGTCCATAAAGACCTATACACCATAAGTTAAACGTTGCGCATTACTCTTTATCAAGAGTAGAGTACCTGCTTTGAAACCGCCGTGTGCAGTGGCTGAGGATGGATTTGCGAAGTGCCACTCCCAGAGATGGGGCCAAGTTCTGACATTATCGTCAACGCTGTAAAGTCCTGCAAAAAAGACACATACCCCTATAGTCCTGCACCCGCCCTCATCAGGATATTTACAACTCTACGCAGGTTAAAAACATCTACTATGCGAGGGACGTCACTTACCTCTCGACTTTGATGGCCTCGTAGGGTCCGTGTATATTGTTGCAGATCTTTTGAAGGTTCTTCACGACACCACTTTGGAACGCCGTTGGTTGGCTCATGCTCGTACACTACATCCTCTCCAGAGTATCCGCACCAGGGGCAGTCTTTCTTGCATTCTTAAGGGGGATCGTCTGAGTGCGCTCCCGTTCGTCTCGTCGTCTGGCTGGATCCCTGGGTGGTC